CTCTATAAAAAGCACTGCCCTAAAAAAAACAAACAATGACAGCAAAGGGAACAAACATCCCGGCAACACCCGCTTTCCTAAAATCCAAAAATACAAAACACCGAATAAAAAACATACAGAAGGGTCACTAACCAAGACCAAAAAAAACTTACCTCAATCCAACCCCCTATAAAAAGGGGAAAAAAAAACTGAATTAGAGAAAGATTAAAACTTACGAGGTGATATAAAAAAGACCGGGAAGCCCCTATCAAAATTTTAAACAAAAAACATATCACAAATGCGAAATAAATTAAAAAATCAGATACCCCAACCCCACCAACAAAACGGCAAACAGACTAATGATTTCTTCTCCCTAAGGACAAAACCTTGCCAATAAAATCCCAAGCTCAGATACCCCCCCAAAATACTACTTCACGGAAACACCTGAACACACTGTTCCACTCCACTCCCCCATACGAAGTCCCCCTTTTTAAAAAACAACACACTAAAAAACCAAGCAGAGTTTTTAAATCCCTTTTACCCCCCCTTTATATACAAAAATGTCACAATACTATCCCCAAATCATTGCAACACTCTTTAACAAATCCTTTTGATCCCCACCTTCCCACATTCTCAAAAGCAAGGGCCACCCCGCCATAAAGGAGGAAAAACAGATTGAATAACTATGGGCCAATATCCAATTTACACCCTCTCTCCAAAATCTTCAAAAATTTTAATTCTAAACAAATCTACTCCTACCCACTCCCAAAACATTCTCAACCCCCCAATTTGGTTTCAGGCCTAAAAAAATACAATGATGCTATTATACACACTAGAACATAAACCTGAAATAGAGAAAAAAGAAGTCCCACGGGGGATCTTCATTGACTTACGTAAATTTTTTGATACAGATGCCCATGATTGCTCCACGTAAAATTTCACAATGGTATTGAGGGCACTCCCCAACTACCCAAGTCATACCTCGCAACAAACCAATTGGAAAAGAAAATGGGCAAGCTCTCTGCTAAACCCAAATTTTCAGGGGCCCCCACGGGAAAGTGTCCTTGGGCCCTTTCCTCCTCCAACAAAATACCTCCCAAATGTTTTGAAATTTTACTAAAACCCCATATTTTTTTGCAAACACTACACACATCTTCCTACCCGGGCCCCAGCACCTAGCCAATACTGTAAACCCCAAAATTTACGAAAATATCTCCCTGGTAGGACTAACAAACTTAAACTAAACATTGACAAAACCTCTTCATTTTATTTTTTTAACAGAGCTACAGATGTACCTCTTAAATAACGAAAACAATCACCATCACAAAGCAACAGAGGGAAAAATTTTTAGGGAACCCCCTTGATAAAAGACTCAAATTTTATACACAATACCAAAATTTTTAAGAAAAATTTTCCAAGACTGTAGGGAACTATCGAAATACGGTAAATATGTTCCACAGTCGCCCTCCTGGCCCTTTATCCTCTCTTTTTTACCCCACCAAAACCCAAAGGAATTTGTGCATGGGGCTCAAAAACAATTAACCATCTCAGACCACTAATTTTCCCAACAAAAGGGGCATTTAAAGATAACAAATTCTCATACAGGCACACACTCCACCAAAATTCAAAAAACTCAACCCACTCACCATACAAAACTCCTAATTTTTACTGCACCTATTTCATACATAGAACACTTAACCTGATATTAAAAACCCCCCCTCAAACCTCCCTTGCCAAACCCCAACAGAACACATACCAAACACAAGGCAAGACACTCTTTGATTTCCCTGTCCCCTCTCACGCTATGCAAAAACTCAAAGCCCCAAAAAGGCCCTAAAACTGGAATTCATTACCTGTAAAATAAAAGAACACTAAAACCCTTTTATAAATTTAAGTCTCTCTCAAAGATCACTTTCCACTCAAAAACCCAAAAAAAATACTGAATAACGACCTTTAAAATTTTATATCCTATATGTTTTCCACAATTATATCACACAAATGTTAACCTAGGGCCCATCTAACTTATTATTTTTTTAAAACACACCTAACAGAAACTCCATTTGACTGAATGTACGCAATGCATGCCAAACCCAAGACCTTCTTTGTAAAAAACCTTGTGCTTTAAGTTTTTCTTTTTACAATAATTTTATCACTGATTTTATCACTGCTTTTTAACTTAATTAATTTTAAGCCCCCCGAATGCTATGCATATAAGTGGCTTTGGGATGCTGCTCTTTCCTGTATTTTTTTTACTCGTAGTATGCTTTAAATTACAAATTAAATTTAAAATTAAAATTTAAAATTTAAAATTTAAACACAGCAATCATCTGTTTCCTTGTCATCCCACTACATCCACGCACATTTTAAACATCCCAGTTTTATAAAGTTTTTTTTTCCTTTTTTTTAAAAGTCTACAGGGGAAGGGTTACAGCCCCCATTGCTCCCGCATTTTAGTCCCTCAACGACACCATGGGTTTCGGAGGGAAAATTTTTTCCACTTCCCCATGGACAATAGAAAAATAAAAGGAACAAAACTATTTAGAAAAAAAGGGGAAAAGCCTAGATGTATGTATATATATTATGCTGTGCGTGTCTTAAATGTGACCAAAGTGTAAAAGGATAGCAAGATATCCCTGTTATCAGCGTTTTATGAACACAAAAAGAAACCGCAATCCTACCATCATGCAAAACAGTTACAGGTTTCTGTTTCACAGTCATCTGGCAGGACGGTAGTACTTCCCTGGGTGGTTGCTGTCTACCAACCTACTACCTAATTAAATGTCATAGCATATTACGTGTGGGTGGGGTGGGATGACCTGGCTGGCTATCATACCTCCCAAACCTGACTTCCTACAAATACAACTCACCTCTTACCCTACATTAGGACAACAAATATTCTGAGGTAAGTAATGGGTGTACTGTGTGAGTATTTTACTTTTTATTGTTTTTAATAGCAAAAAAAAAAAGGCACAATATTGTGACTGAAACGATACACAAATAACCCGCACATAGAAGAGAGGAGCTTACGACGACGTTTTGATCTGACTTGGACCATTTACAAAGTCACACTAACAAGAAGTGGAGCAGGACGGGTATATATAGGCAGGAAGAGGTAGTGGTGGTGGTAGTAGTAGTAGTACTAGTACTAGTAGTAGTAGTGGGGAATTGAGGAGGAGGAGGAGCCAGTCAAATACAAAGAAAGGGGAGCACTGCAAGGGAGGTAGGTGCCCACAGAGGGAGAGCAAGAACACAGAGGTGGAGGGAGGGGAAGTAATGAAATAAATAATGAAGGAACAGAAACATAAGACAGAAGAAAGAAAGACAACCCAGAAGAGAAAAGAAAAAAGAAAGGAGGAAAGGGGAAGAGGGAGAAGAAGAAAAAAGGAGGAATCAGGTTAAGTCACGGGTGTTCTGAAGTTTGGAGCATTTTACAATGTAGTGGGAGAGGAAGGCATCTACAGAGACAAAGCCAGGACTAAGACTCATACAAGGAAAGCTGTGTATTAGGGAGGATTCAACCAGACGGCAACCGTTAAAGTTGGAAGTAGGGAAGACAGTTTTAGCAGAAGACCAGTCAATAGGATGGCTGTGATCTCTGACATGACAGAAAAGAGCATTATTAGTGTCGGCAAGCCTAACACTATTTTTGTGCTCCCTAAGTCTGTCAGAGATTGACCAGTTTCTCCAAAGTATTGAAGAGGACAGGAGGAGCAAGAAATAGAGTAGACACCAGGGACATCTGTAGAAGCTCCTCTCTTCTATGTGCAGGTTATTTGTGTACTGTTTTTAATGCCTAGATCTATTGTTAACTTAATATATGTTAGAGTAAACTTGTTATCTCTCATTTATATGCATTTATAAGTGGAAAAAATGGTGTTCTGCTTTCCAGCAGTGCCTGGAACCCAACTTGTAGTATAAGTGGGGCCCTACTGTATATAAGTCCTATACATTTTATTATTTATTAACACATTGGCTGTTTCCCACAAAGGTAGGGTGGCCCCCCCAAAAAAAAAAAAAATTTTACATCATTCACTCCATCACTGTCTTGCCAGAGGCACACTTACACTACAGTTACAAAACTGCAACATTAACACCCCTCCTTCAGAGTGCAGGCACTGTACCTCCAATCTCCAGGACTCAAGTCTATCAAAGTCATTCTATTTCATTCCATCCTCTCTGCATAACCAAGCCACCTCAATAACCCCTCCTCAGCCCTCTGGAAAATAGTTTTGGTAATCCCACACCTCCTCCTAATATCCAAACTATGGATTCTGTACATTATATTCACACCACACATTGCCCTCAGACATGACATCTCCACTGCCTCCAGCCTTTTCCTTGTTGCAACATTCACCATCCAAGATTCACACCCATATAAGAGAATTGGTATAACTCTACTCTCATACATTACCCTCTTTGCTTCCATGGATAAAGTTCTTTGTCTCCACAGACTCCTCCGTGCACCACTCACCTTTTTCCCCTCGTCAATTCTGATTCACCTCATCTTTCGCAGACCCATCTACTCCAAAACATCTGAAAACATTCACCTCCTTCATACGCTCTCCCTTTAATCTGATATCCAGTCTTTCATTGCCTAATTTTTGGTTCTCATTACCTGATTCTTTCCTATGAAACTCATCCACCAACCTCTGCAATTTCTCTTCAGAATCTTCCAAAAGCACAGTGTCATCAGCAAAGAGCAACTGTGACAACTCCCACTTTGTGTTAGACTCTATCTTTTAACCCCACACCTGGAGTATTCTTGCCAACAGCCGAGCATTCACTTCGAACTCACGTGTATTCGAACCCACATGTGGAGAGTGGCTTAGCTCCCAAATGTAATGCCTTAGATCACTTGGCTACAGATGCCTCAAAAAGCCAGGTAGCCAGGTTACATACCATATTTCTTCCTAGCTCCGGGGCACACCAGAGGGTAAGAGTGAGTTTACACTACTCTTATTCGTGGTTGTAAGTAATATGGTGTCTATAAGATAGTAAGGTATATATAATGTTAAACTTACCGGCATTTCTTCTCTTCCGCACAATGACAGCCACATCTGTGAAAACAAAGACATTATGTGTAAATATGGACAAAAATTTAACAAATACTGCCCTCCAGCAAATACCTGCTTGATATCAAGGAAAAAACTGAAGGTAACAATGCAAAAATGTCTGTAGCACAAGTATTATATTACATTATTAATACATAAAATACAGCACATATAAATAATAATAACAACACAATGTCTCACATTTAACCTACATCCATCTCAGGCTCCTCTTCATTCTTAAACCTACAAGGGTCATACAGTTCCTCATTCCTAAATGATGTTATCTCTCTTTGCTCCATATATGAAATCACATCTTCACCATCATCACTAATATTCAACAACTCATCAGAATATCCTCTTCATTATTCTAGTGTACCTCTATCTCCCTATCTAACATCATCACCACCTTTTTTTTTGTTCTTAACTGCTAAGTCTATTTGCTCTCTAGCTTCTTAATCCTGGTAAAATTTACTTATAAAGACTTGCTTATTCTTTCACTGGTTATCCTTCTCAACTCCCTCACAATTCTTTTAACCTCCCTTTTCATCTCTATTGTGTCTATTACGTATTTTTACATTACAAAAACCACTCATATGCTAACTTTTTCTCCCTTACCACCCTCTTCATCATTTTACCAATTATCCCTCTTCCCATCTGCACCCATCCTCCTATACCCACAAACCTTGCTGCACATTCTTAACCCTTTGAGGGTCTGTCCCACAGTTCTATGGCTTGTCCACAGGGTTTACCTGGAGTTTACCTGGAGAGGGTTTCAGGGGTCAACGCCCCCGCGGCGTGGTCTGAGACCAGGCCTCAAGAATTTAAAAAATAAAATTGTTATTTTTTCTTGTGAAATGGTATCAAATCTTTTTCTGAGGGTAATAAAATAAAAAGTACGAAATCTGATGGAAAACTGATGAAATTACACTATTGCAAATTTTGCTGCATCAGCGATATTTACGCATCAGGAATTTTGCCTACTTTGGCTCCTATTTCAGGCCAATTACATTATTGCAGTCAACCAAATTCTTAGCTATTTCGCTAGTATCACTTCCATTTTATCGACTGAGTACAAGAAAATGCCCAGTCAACTATTTCAGCTACCCAATAAAGTTAACAGAAATTGGCAATTTGGTCAATTTCACACAAAGTTCAAAATATTCCAGTTTCAAAATAGGGTCCAGAATAAACAATGGAGACATTCCTGGCACTAAAATAACAGATGAATTCTAGTTTGATTTTTTATTCATAAAATAGAATTTTTATTCACACAAAAAAATAGAAGATTTACTGTTATGCAATACTGTAATAATTGTATAACTAATATCAGTACATTCGTGAACATATACCCACCAGCTGATGTGTATTGGACACGTGACATCATTTGTTTACTCTTGAACATCGGAAAAAATCGAACACTTCTGCTTCTTTGAGCTCAATTTCAAGCAATTTTCAGTACTAAAATCAAACAAAAACATCTCTAATTCTTTAATATATCTTCCATTCTATCAAATGAAACCAAGAAACTACAAATACAACTGTAAAAAGCATATGAAAATACACTGCAAAGTCAATGTTTTAATCCAAAAACACGGTCACTGTTCTTTTTCTCATTATGCACTGTGTGCTGCAGGTTATGTTTTATGTGGTGCACACTTACCACATAGATGCAATCTCTCATATCTAGGTGCAAATTTATGGCTCACAGCTTATGTGAGTGAGCTGAGCTCATGACGTAATACTACGGCTTGGACCCTGGCTTCAAAGCCATAGAACTACAGGATGTACCCTCAAAAGGTTAAATTTATCCCAATACCTCATCGCCGCTCTCTTCATTTCCTTAACTTTCTCTAATTCACCTTTCCCCCAATAGTTGATCATATCTTTCTGGATTGATTCTTCCTTAATTCATTTACAGTATTTTTACTTTCCTTTTACCAACTGCTATCAGTCTCCTTATACTCCACTTACCACTTACTCTTAGTTTAATTACCACTATATAATGATCTAATGTAAGTGTCGCTCCTCTAAAAACATGCACATTTATACATCTACTTGTAAACTTTCTGTCTAATACATATTCTAACAAACTGCTATCTTTGTGCCCCATATCATAGCTTGTATACTATTTATCTTTTTTTTTTCTAAAAATAAATATTACCTATTAGCAAACCCCCTTTCTTCACACAACTGAATTAAGTGTCCGCCATATTCATATGCTCCTGGCATGCCATACATACTACATCATATACAACAATTTCACCCACTTTACCATTAACCCTTAAATGGTCCAAACGTATATATACGTTCTCTTGTGCAGCGCCCTGAATATTTTGAAAAAAAAAAAAAAAAAAAAAAAAAAAAAAAAAAAAAAATAGAGAAAAAAAAGAGCACATTTTTATAAGTGTTTTAGAATAAAAAAAAATTAGGGTCAGTACTGACAGAGATATGAGGCCGAGAAGTTGGCACTGGATGCTCACGTGACAGCAACATGGAGTCCTGCCACTTGCAGAAGTGTTGCCAATATACCTTTTTTTCTATTTTTCATATAATATGTTCTGATAATTACAATTTATAGTAGTTCTTGTCATTTCATAACCAATCTTTCTTCTGACACTAGTATTAGGTACTGAAATTGTACTCACATTGTCACAAACAGACTGACAGGTGGACATTTACACCTGCCTTGGCCATTTACTATTGTCTTGGAATATATACAAAATATTTTTTTGTCCCAGCAAAGTTTTGGATATGTGGAAGTATATAATAATAATAATAATAATAATACAGTGGACCCCCGCATACCGATGGCATCACATAACGATTAATCCGCATACCGCTTGCTTTAATCGCAAAAATTTTGCCTCGCATACCGCTTAAAAACCCGCTCACCGATTTTCGTCCGAGACGCGTCCAATGTGCGCCCTCAGCCAGCCTCACATGTGCCGCCGGTGGCATTGTTTACCAGCCAGCCTCCGCGGTAACATCCAAGCATACAATCGGAATATTTCGTATTATTACAGTGTTTTCGGTGCTTTTTCTGGAAAATAAGTGACCATGGGCCCCAAGAAAGCTTCTAGTGCCAACCCTACAGCAATAAGGGTGAGAATTATAATAGAGATGAAGAAAAAGATCATTGATAAGTATGAAAGTGGAGTGCGTGTCTCCGAGCTGGCCAGGTTGTATAATAAACCCCAATTAACCATCGCTACTATTGGTGGTACAGCTGCTGCTGCTGCTGCACTGTCAGCTGCTGCTGCTGCTGTAGCATCGTCTGCTGCTGCTGTAACATCATCTGTTGCTGCTGTAGCATCGTCTGTTGCTGCTGTACCACCGTCAGCTGCTGCTGTAGCATCGTCTGCTGCTGCTGTAGCATCGTCTGCTGCTGCTGCTGCTGTAGCATCGTCTGTTGCTGCTGTACCACTGTCAGCTGCTGCTGCTGCTGTAGCATCGTCTGCTGCTGCTGTAGCATCGTCTGCTGCTGCTGTAGCATCGTCTGTTGCTGCTGTACCACCGTCAGCTGCTGCTGCTGCTGTAGCATCGTCTGCTGCTGCTGTAGCATCGTCTGTTGCTGCTGTACCACCGTCAGCTGCTGCTGCTGCTGTAGCACCGTTGTTGGTGTGGCTTATTGAGAATACCAAGAAACAATTAACCCCAGAGGATTTGCCACCCAGGATAACCCAAAAAAGTCAGTGTCATCGAAGACTGTCTAACTTATTTCCATTGGGGTCCTTAATCTTGTCTCCCAGGATGCAACCCACACAAGTCGACTAACACCCAGGTGAACAGGGAAAAATGCCTGGAACTAGTGCTCATATTGGTGAATTTAAAGCCAGCAAAGGTTGGTTTGAGAGATTTAAGAATCGTAGTGGCATACACAGTGTGATAAGGCCTGTTCTGGAAGAAAATGCCAAACAGGACCTACAGTACTCAGGAGGAAAAGGCACTCCCAGGACACAGTGTCTCATCAGTCATTGCTGCATCTTCAATAAAGGTAAGTGTCATTTATTCTTCATTTAGTAGACTAGTACATGCACAATATATACTGTGCATGTACTACTCTACTATTGTGCATGTATCCTTCTCTTTGTGTGTAGGAAAATGTATATTTCATGTGGTAAAAATTTTTTTTTCATACTTTTGGGTGTCTTGCACGGATTAATTTGATTTCCATTATTTCTTATGGGGAAAATTCATTCGCATACCGATTATTTCGCATAACAATGACCCCTCTTGCACGGATTAAAATCGGTATGCGGGGGTCCACTGTAATGATGAGGAGGAGCATACGCGAGGGTGCAGTGATAACACTTGAGTATATGGAGAGTATATAGCAGAGTATATGGAGAGTAAAAGAAAGGTGAAGAGAGTGGTGACAGAGTGCAAAAGGAGAGCAGATGATAGAGTGGGAGAGGCACTGTCAAGAAATTTTAATGAAAATAAGAAAAAATTTTGGAGTTAAACAAGTTAAGAAAGCCTAGGGAAAGTATGGATTTGTCAGTTAAAAACAGAGTAGGGGAGTTAGTATATGGGGAGATGGAGGTATTAGGTAGATGGCGAGAATATTTTGAGGAACTTTTAAATGTTAAGGAAGAAAGAGAGGCGGTAATTTCATGCACTGGTCAGGGAGGTATACCATCTTTTAGGAGTGAAGAAGAGCAGAATTTAAGTGTGGGGAGGTACGTGAGGCATTACTTAGAATGAAAGGGGGTAAAGCAGCTGGAGCTGATGGGATCATGACAGAAATGTTAAAAGCAGGGGGGGATATAGTGTTGGAGTGGTTGGTACTTTTGTTTAATAAATGTATGAAAGAGGGGAAGGTACCTAGGGATTGGCGGAGAGAGATTGTAAAAATTATAGAGGAATAAGTTTACTGAGTATACCAGGAAAAGTGTACGGTAGGGTTATTATTGAAAGAATTAGAGGTAAGACAGAATGTAGGATTGTGGATGAGCAAGGAGGTTTCAGAGTGGGTAAGGGATGTGTAGATCAAGTGTTTACATTGA